CCCCAAAACCCCAAAACCCCTCTTGATAATTAGGTTATGAATTTTATAGTAAAATATTCTTTATAAATAATAGGCCTAAAATAATCTTGAAATCAATAATCATTTTAAATTTATTTTCTCTCTTTAATAATTGCCATTTTCTACTCAACTATATTTTGAAAGCTCATCTTAAGCTTCTTTAATCAAGTTTTCTTACTCCAACGCTTTTTCTTAGTTTTGTGCAATCACTGTAAAATATTACTAGAGTGACTGATTCTTGTTAATAAAAGCTTCTGATTATTAAAATATCTGACCTAAAATAATGTCTCTTTGCAACTTCATGTTATGAACCTTAAATTTCTGAGATAGAATTTTGAATTCATCATCCTCAATTTAAGGTTGAGCAACTTATATTTTCTAAGATCTATGTCTGGTTATGATGGGCCTTTATCTCTTTCTTTTGATAAATTGCAAATCATACAAATTTATTACAGTCACTTTCACAAATATTTTAGAATCAAACTTAGGGTTCTCTAAGATTGTCTGATAATATATCTTAAACCTATATTTATTCCTAAGACAGTGCTCACTCAAGTATTAATCGAATTCGTCAATATCAAATTAAGTTTTCACTTTTTCAATTAAAACTGAGCAATCACTATCTAGGGCTTATTTAATAATATCATGCATTCTGTGTTATCTAAATAATACTCTTTTAAAATCATCTCCTGTAATTGCAGAAATAAATTTCTAAGCATAGTTATTAGGATCTATAAAGAGTATCGGCTTCTACGAATTCTAGCAAATCTTCTTTATTATTTACAGCTTTTGTATGAATTCATCTTATATATTTGGTTGATTTACTGTGTCTATTGTTTACTCAAGAGGATAAGGTAGTTTAAGATCTTATATATTATTATACAGCTCTATTCTATATTTTACTTCAAATGGAGGGTAGTAGAATTCAAAGAGAATATTTAAAATTTTATCTTCAATTCCTTAATTTTATTCTAATTCTTTATTTTTCTTTAAAAATTCTTTGTCCATCTATCTCTCAATCATTTCTCTGATCAATTTGAGCTATGCTCTTTAATTAGTTTTCTTGCTGAATTATTTTTTATTCTTGATGACAAGCATTTAGTTAGCCATAGTAGAACTTAATAATCCTTCAAGCTTAATTTTATTGGTATTAAGGATATCTTCACATCTCAGTACTTATTCTTCATGATAATCACTTTTGATATCATACAATTTATCTACAATTTAAGCAATTTCATAGTTTGAGGTATAAACCTCTAGATATTTTAGTAATAGGTCTTAAACCCGATAGAATTTCTCTCAATTTTCTTTCAACTCTTATGAATCTAGGCAATTTTTAATATATTAAACTTAAGCAGGATTAGCTTCGTGAAGTGTCAAGAATTTTTCTATCAATGAACTTATAAATGATTTATTTTCATCTATTAAAGTTGTACGAATTCTAATTTTCACAAACTATTTAGGTAATTTGTTAATCTAAGGTATAGTCATTTCTACGCAAAAGACTACCATCACAAGTCTAAAAGTATCATAAAACTATTAGTTAAAATCAATTAAAGCTGTCAACTTCTAAAATTAATGTTTTAAGATAGAATCAGAAAGATCATTGAATTCTTTGAGATTTTCATCATATTTACTTTGGACTCTAATTATAAGATCTTCTAGGTATTTCATTATTTATTCTTTCTATTCTATCCCTTTTAAGCCCCCAAGCATTTCTTGAGATTGCAGTTTCTAGTATACATCTACATCCATTTAAATGTGATTAATCTCATCTACAACATCATTTAATTTTTTATCTAGCTCTTATTGTATCTCCTCTAAAACTTTATCCTCTTCATTGAGTCTATCTATCAACTTTTACCAGTTGTAATTTAACTCTACTCCTTTGTATAGCAGTCCACTTTCATTTTTATCACTATTTATTGCAGTCGAGCATTCTTAAGAAAATTTAATCCTTGATGCATAATGAAGAACAGACAATTTTAGCATCTCTTAGGTTTCAAAATTGACAGTCTTTCTTTTATATTGATGATAATCTCTACATGTTCTTAAAGCTGCATTATATACTCCAGTAAACACATCTTTTAGATCAATAGGTATTTTATTTTCTTCTAGAGTTTAAACAAGAAAATTATTGTCGATCTTTTCATTTAATGGTGTTAATGGATCGTCATTAATAATATCTTTCGGAGTATTATTCATTTTAGATTCTAATAAATAAGACATTATATTATTTTATTAGCTTGAAATATTTTATCATTTCTACTAATACAATAATAGTATATTTCTTAGTTAACGGGGTTTTGGGGTTTTGGGG